GGATAAGGCGGGTGATAAGTGGCATCTAGTTCCCCAGTGTCAGTGTCATACTCACTTGAGTCTTCACTATCACCTTTTCGTATATTTGAGTCTTTACTAGACATTACAGGTGCAGTTGCAGATGACTCCTGAGTGTGTATCTCTTGTTCCCGGCTGACACTGGAATTCCCTGAGTCCTCATTTTCTGAAGGAACAGAACTGACAGTGACTGTGCGATTATCCTCAATTGGAATAGAAGTTTCCACATTTTCAATAAAAATAACATCTCTGCTTTTGATTATTTTAAGTGTTTTAGGGTCCATTAAACGATATCCTTTGGAACTGTCGCAATAACCCATAAATATCATTTTTACTGATTTTTTATCCCATTTATGGCGTTTTTCCTTTGGCACATGGACCATAGCTTCAGAGCCAAATATTTTTAGATGTGATAAGTTAGGTTTCTTACCTTTCCACAATTCATATGGAGTTTTACCTTCTAATGACTTTGTCGGGGAACGATTCACAACATAAGCAGCAGTTGCTACTGCTTCAGCCCAGAATTTCTTTTCTAGGTTAGCATAAAATAACATGCATCTTGCGCGTTCAACTAAAGTCCTGTTCATTCTCTCGGCCAGGCCGTTCTGCTGTGGAGTATACGGAGTAGAGGTCTGATGAATTATACCATGATTAGATAGGTATTTTTCAAAATTATAGTTGCAGTATTCTTTGCCATTATCTGTGCGAAGCCTTTTAATTTTATAATTTAATTCATTCTCTACTTTCAGTTTAAAATCCTTAAAAATCTCTAATATTTTCAACTTGTCTTTAAGAAAATAGACATGAACCATTCGTGTGAAATCATCAGTGAAAGTAATGAAGTATTTCATACCTCCAAATGAAATGTTCTCCATAGGACCACACAAGTCAGAATGGATTAATTCTAGAGGTCTCGTAGCTCTTGTTCCAGTATTTTTAAAAGGTAACCTAGCTTGCTTACCTTCCATACAATGTGTGCAAGTGACATCATTTACATCTGGAGTCAGAGTCACTCCCTCAGAGCATGTAGGTAGCTTCTTTACATCAGACATATTCAAATGACCCATCCGCAGGTGCCACAGGTAAGTATTATTGCTATTCTTATTTCTTGAGACCAAGTGGGCCACTTCCTTACAGGTCTCTAATACATACAAACTATTCTTCAGCTTTGCAGAGCATATTACTTCACCTTTACTATTTCCAACTTCACATCCTTTGTCATTAAATGTGACCTTATATCCATTTTTCACAATAGCTCCAACTGAGAGAAGATTAGTAGCCAGCCCGGGTACAAATAAAACATTTTTAACTTGTATTTTATTTTCTTGACTTAGCTGAATGTTCACACAGCCAACTCCATTCACAGCTAAGGGTTCTCTGTTAGCCACAGTGATGTTTTTTACAGATGATTCAGTGACATTATACATCCAATCAATTCTGCTTGTCATATGCATGGATGCACCAGAGTCAATGTACCATTCATCACTTACATTTTTGCTGACTGTAGCTAAAAAGCTGCCACAAAACTAGTACTTTCTCCTTTATTTGCCGTTTGTTTCTTTGGTAGTTTACAATATTTAGCGAAATGTCCATTCCTATTGCAGTTGAAGCATCTCGGACCCTTTGTTTTTATCGATGAGGTATTATTTCTGGGTTTTCTGGAATTTGTATAGAAGGCTGCTGATTTTGATGTATTAACTTCTTGTATAAGTTTAGATTTTACTGAATCAGCACTTATTTTAATGCCAGAGCTCTCTAAGCCCATAATCATGGGTTTGTATTCTTCTGGTAAGCCAGCCAACATCAAGGTACCAAGCCACTCATCATTGACATCAAAACTAATATTACGTAACTTGTGTGCTGTGTTCATTATTTTACTTACGTAATCTTCAACTCTGTTACTTGAATCTAATGTGGTGTTAATCAAATCTTTAAGCAAACCTACCCTTCTTGTTAAACCATTATCATCAAATGCCTTTTGCAAATTTTCCCACACTTGTTTGGCGGTTTTACAGTCTTGAACATGGACATAATTTTGCGGATCCAGTAGTAAGATCAGCTTTGATTTCGCTTTGACATCCTTTACAGCATCCACCGGCTTGCCGTCGTGGCATTCGACACAACACCACAAGTCTTCATGTTCCAAATATGCTTTCATGCTGAATTTCCACGTGGCAAAGTTTTCTCTTCCTACCAGTTTTTCTAAATTAAACATATTTGGGCCCATCTTGCTTATCTTCACGAGGAATATTCAATTTTTGATGAACGATCCTACCCTTCAATTTGAATTGCAACGACAATTTTTTCGGATTGAAGTTTTGTCCACTTTATTATTATTTCCAGCTATACCACAACTAAACACAACTGAACCACGCTCTGCTACTATGTAGGAAAACTACGTGGTTGTGGAAGAAATAATGATACGTTTTTAGGATCACAATATAACTCGCATTTATTGGTAGAAAAATATAATATTACATAGAATGTCAGCTTGACAAGTAGTACAGAGTACAGCGCCCCAGGCGTAAGACAAAGGGAAACTAAAATGGCTGCATTCCATTTCTCTAACAAGTTCATACCCAAAATAAGCAGAATGGTGGTGGCATCTATACTATCTAAAGGTGCGAAGTTGTTTTGTTTTATTTTTTCCTACCTTTTCTGATAGCCTTGAGAGGCTATTTCAGCTTCTCCTTGACGTGTAGGTGAGCTAACGGGGCTCAAACCGGAGTGTTGCTAGCCTAGCCCTAGCAAGAGCAGTGCTTCGCAGAATCTACCACCGGATCGAAAACGCGACCCACTGAGAAGATCCGGCGAGAAATTCAGTGGGCTGAAGTTTGCAACAACAAGATTATTCACGCAAATTTATATTATTTTTGTGGGTTCGGTTTTATACACGGGCTCAGTGGTGTAGATTGGGAGAGGCCTATGTCCAGCAGTGGACGACTGTGGGCTGTTGATGATGATGATGATGATGGTTTTATACACGAACGTAGACGACGGCACTTGTGCTGTTGGCACGTATTTATTTTGGAATGTGTTTCGAACTGCATTGTCATTGAACGGCATTGTCACATCATCTAAACACGGAGTTGGTACACCTATATTCTGTAAGGTACATACATGTGTACGTCAAATAATCGCGGATTTTTTTTAAGCTTGTTGAAATTGTTTACCAATGAGTCACAATAACTTTTTTTTTTATTGCCCTTGTAGGCAGACGAGCATACGGCCCACCTGATGGTGAGTGGTTACCGTCGCCCATGGACTTCAGCAATGCCAGGGGCAGAGCCAAGCCGCTGCCTACCGCTTAATACTATCCACAAGCCTCGTTTGAAGAAGGACATGTCATAGCGCTCGGGAAACACCGTGGAGGGGAGCTCATTCCATAGCCGGATGGTACGTGGCAAAAAAGATCTCTGGAAACGCACTATGGATGACCGCAGTGGCTCCAGATAGTATGGATGAACTCTACTCCGGTGGCGGGCGGTGCGTTGGTAAAAACGAGATGCCGGTATCATCTCGAACAATTCCGCAGAGCACTCCCCATGGAACATACGGTACAAAATACAGAGGGAACCGAAGTCCCTCCGCAGACCCAGAGGTTCCAAACAACTTGAAAACGGAGCGTGTGTTAATGTTAATAGCACTGCATTTTACACGGAATCGATTGAGAACGCTTATAAAACGACCTCTTTCTCTGATCGGCTGTAGGTGACACACAAAAACGTGTTACATTTATCGTGTGCCCAAAAGTTATTTGGGTAGTTCTGTATTTAATTTCTCTTTTATAATATATTGCTGTTCGATTATTTACATTATACATTATTGCTGTTCCGGTCGTCAACGTACCGAGAATTTTGAAAATCCACAACACAAGTTAAACAAAAGATCATTAGGAACAGGGCAAAGTTATAAAACAGTAACAGTTAACGTGGTTCTTCTAGTTAATTTTGTTACTGTGTGAAAAATTGTCACTGATGATGTGCTCTCAATTGTATTACTTGTTTTCAGAATAGCTACATGTAAATACAAACATTAAGTTATTAGTGTTATTAGTTAGTATTATTAGTCATTAATATATTTTTTTAATAATAAATTAAAGTCCCGTGATAATGTCGTGTTCATCGATTTATGTACGATACGTCTTAGGGATTAATAACCTTTATATATATTTAAATAGCATTAGTAAGAAAACATAAGGGAGAGATAGTATTTTCTTTGGTTTTTACGTGCCGTAGTCAAAAATACTTTTACGGTTTAATCTTTAATTTTTCTTAATTTTCATTACGTTATTTCGGTAGTTTCGCACTCCCAACGTTTCCGAAGACAGCGAATTGGCTTTCAGCGTTCAGCTATCTTCTTCTTTTTCTCCAACTTATCCCACTAGGTGGGGTCGTCACAGCTAATTTTTCTCTTCCATTCTCTTCTATCTGCCGTCATCTCAACACTCTCTCTCTCTCTCTCTCATATCGTCATTCACACACTCCATCCATGTCTTTTTTGGTCGACCTCTTCCCTCTCTACCTTGCACTACCATTTCCATACATCTTCTAGTCACATGCATCTTCTCTTTACGCATCACATGTCCATACCACGCTAACCGTCCGCTCTTTAATTTGTTGATTACCGGGGTTACTTTCACACTTTCTCTGATATGCTCATTCTTTATCTTCCATTCTTGTCACTCCACACATCCATCTCAACATTCGCATCTCTGCCGCATCCGCATGCACACACACTTTCAGCATTCAGCTTTAATTATTGTAAAATGTTTCCATTTTTGCCAAGCATTGGTGGTCTTCGAGCGCTAGTCATTTCGAATTTGAAAATAGTTCGAATTTTCGTGGCCTATCTCTGAAACATCTTCAAATAAGGTTTCAAAAGATTCCTCAGTAAAATGTAGCGGTTTGACTTGTGCTTCTGCTAATAATATTCAAGAGTCTTATAATTAAAATGTTGCATTTAAATTAATAAATACTTACAGTCGTTTCTTTTCAGCCCATTCATCAGCGTGCTCCTGTGCTACCTTCTCCAAATGCTCCCTCGCTTTCTCCGCTTTTGTGAAGATCTGCAGCCGCCGGGCGACATCGGTTTCCACGCGCTTCAGAGTTAAATCGTCGCGAGCCCTTTCATCCTGTTTATTTAATATTAGACTTTAATGGATACCTATTTAAAGTTATTTTTGTGTATTTGGTCGCTTTTTTGTTGACATTTAAAAAAAAAACTTTCCTTTTTTATATCGTTTTTTAAATCTCTTTGTTACTTAAATAGCGAACAATTTATGAATTCAATTTTAATGAAAATCTTAACAAATAATTGACAATAGTTGATATTCTACGATTTTTTATTTTAAACCAGCTTAATTCTCTGCGAAATAATTGCGCCCGATAGAAATATTTCTCGAATTATAAGTTTTACAAGAACTGTCCAAATTAGTTCACAATGAATTTCTCAAATTTATCTCGAGATTCATCATCAATCTTCATCAATCATCAATCAATCTAATTCTGCTTGAGATTTTAAGTTTATTCGAATTTTATTGCTCGACTTCTGCGAATGCACTATCGCATCGTAAAAGGAGGCGGCAGGGCGCGTGAGAGACGCAGAAGTCGAGCGGGGGCCAGAGAGGCGGATCTCACCCAAGCCCTGGCCCTCTAAGTGATTCAGGCCCCCCTCACATGTCGGTCTGGGGACCGCCGAGGGGGGCCTAAGAAGACGACGTGCAAGCTGCTCTGCACGCGTTTTACGCAAGAGCATCAGGGTGATGGAAGGCTGGCTATCCTCGACCCACGCTGGTTCTGACCCAGCGGGGTATTCCGTAGGATAGACCATTCTAACCGGCGCCATCTAGGTGGACTTCGGATAGCCTGCCGACCGAGAGGGCTGGCAGTCGTGGCGCTGACGACCTCCGGTCCGGCGTCCCGAGGGGGAGAGTGATGCGAGAGATGTGCTACGCACTAAATGCTTCACTTTCCTCCCTTTGCCTTTTCATGAGCTCTGTCTCATGCGAGGTTCGAACGTCAGTTGTTGAGCGAAGGAGGTTTTGGTCGGTTCGACTCCGACATGCCCCACTCGCCATCCCCCGTGGAGGGCGGAAGTCCGGTGATTTTCTCCTGACCAAAAAATAATAATACTAATTTTATAAAATCAAATTTGTATTATATTTAAAATTCAATTTGAGCACTTCTTTATGAAAAAGCAGTTAAAGTTTGAATACGCAATTATAATGTTGCAAAGATTACCACTACTAAGATTATTAAGTTGTTTACAGTCATAAACCTTTATACTTAGGCATTGCTGTTGAGAACCTTTAACGTTCAACGTTTCGCTTTTCTTCAATATCCGATATTTTACCCACTATAAAATACAAACGAAGCTTACGAATATTACATGTGTAATTGCATAATATTGAAGAAGGTTCTACGAATTTTTTTACCGCTCTTACATCTTTCTCCTTTTAAAAATACACATGTGCATGGAATTTATACGCAGTAGAAGTTGAACCTTTAGAAGTATTCCATCTCATTACAAACTCAAGAGATGTATATCTACATCATACTAGAGGTCCCGCAGTAGTCGAAATTCGACTATAATTAATTGGAATTCTAAGTTTGTACACTATTATGATTGTATTTTATAATCACAAATTTCGTCAAGACTACACTATAAAAAATATTAACAAAGACAAACAATATTTAATCTCAATTTGAAAACAGACGTCAAGAACAAAAGTTTGACAATAAATAGTATGCATGCGTGTGTGTGTCAAATACATGGTATGTAGTGTGTGTAATGTTTTCTTTATTGATTTAATGTATCTTTTATGCATTATTTAAAAAAATATTAGCATTGTGCACTTCTTCTCTATATTTTCTATAAGTGTGTAAAATTTCATACTCCTCCGTCCGCGCAATTTTCGTAAAAAGGGATACAAAGTTTTTGCTTCACGTATTAATATATAGATATGTTCACGTAAAATGCTTTCCCAAATATCGTCTCAAATAAGTGACGCGAATTGTCGATTTAATCATGTATTTTCCAAAGTAAAATAACAAAGTTGCGGAGATTTCGTTACCACAGTTTACATATTTTAATTGAACGAATACAACTCACGGAAAACTCGTAAAACGACAATGTATTTCGATCGCAAAACGTGCAACAATGTTATGACGGTGATTGTGTTATCTGACAGAACACATCGAGGAATGGATATTAATTAATTTATTAATACTTAAATTCACCGGCTTACATGTTTCATAAGAACTAAGTATTACATACTAGGTACTTGGGAGATAAGCTAGAGATGAAATACATTAAAACAGGAGCAAGGAGACAACAATTGAGTCGCTCAGAGCTAAAAAGCTTTTTAGGGGATTAGAAAATCGAAAATTCGGCTATTGTACATAATAATACAAAGAAATATAAAGAATGGAAATAACTTTTAGTGAATTGATTTATGACATTTATTTATGTTTATTCATTAGATGGGTGGACGAGCTCACAGCCCACCTAGTGTTAAGTGGTTTTGACTGGTGGTAGGACCTCTTGTGAGTCCGCGCGGGTAGGTACCACCACTCTGCCTATTTCTGCCGTGAAGCAGTAATGCGTTTCGGCTAGAAGGGTGGGGCAGCCGTTGTTACTATACTTGAGACCTTAGAACTTATTCTCAAGGAGGGTGGCGCATTCACGTTGTGGATGTCTATGGGCTCCAGTAACCACTTAATACCAGGTGGGCTGTGAGCTGGTCCACCCATCTAAGCAATAAAAAATAAATAAAAAAAGTGGTTACTGGAGACCAATAGACTTCTACAACGTAAACCCCCACCCTGCTTCACGGCAGAAATAGGCGGGGTGGTGGTACCTACCTGTGCGGACTCACAAGAGGTCCTACCACCAGTAATTACGCAAATTAAATTTTTTTCGGGTTTGATTTTTATTACACGATGTTATTCCTTCACCGTGGAAGTCAATCGTGACATTCGTCAAGTACGTATTTCATTAGAAAAATTGGTAACCCGCCTGCAGGATTCGAACACCGTTGCATCGCTCGATACGAATGCACCGGACGTCTTATTCTTTAGGCCACGACGACTTAAAAACTTCTTGGTTAGAGCAAGTGACTTTGTTATTGATATTTAGTTTTCAGAAAGGAAAACTGTCGTAATACTAATCAAACTCACCATTTTTTTTATCTCCACGTGGATCCTATCCATAAATTGATTATACAAGTATTTCCTGTACTGANCCGTTGCATCGCTCGATACGAATGCACCGGACGTCTTATTCTTTAGGCCACGACGACTTAAAAACTTCTTGGTTAGAGCAAGTGACTTTGTTATTGATATTTAGTTTTCAGAAAGGAAAACTGTCGTAATACTAATCAAACTCACCATTTTTTTTATCTCCACGTGGATCCTATCCATAAATTGATTATACAAGTATTTCCTGTACTGATTGAATTCTCTTAGTGAACACACCGCTCTTCCGTCTTTAGTACAGAATCCGAGAAACTTCATTCGATTTCTGGCTGATTTCTGGGCAAAGTGGTGTGCCAAATGAGGGTCGTGCATCGGCACGTAGTCATACGAAACGTTGTTACAGTAAGGATCTGATAGATCAAAATTTGGACGGACGCATTCGGCTCCAAGACCCAGACGACGTACCTGGAAATATAAAACAGTATTGGTATTCGTAGTAGGGCATAATGTGACACTATGAGTCTGCTGCAACGCTATCAAGATTTCCGCTTCGAGAAGTGGTACAGGATTTATAAAAATAATGGAGACTACGATATTTTCCAAAGAGATGATGAAAAAGAGATTTCTATGGGTTCTGGCTACCACTTAATATTAGGGTGATATGTTGGCTCATTTATTATTGCTAAGAAGGATGAACGCGTTCATACCACACCTGGTGTTACATGGTTACCGAATCCCATAGACATAGACAACGTCAATGCCACCATACACGGTAAGGCATGAGTTTAAGATTCAGTTCTATAGCACAACGCCCCTTCCATCAAATCGGAATGCATTACTGCTTCATGACCGAAATTTGCAGGGTGGTGATATCTTTCCGTGCGGGCTCACAAGACGCCCTACCGGCACTAATTATTATGCATATTATTATATTTTTGCGTGTTTGATTTTTACTACACGATGTTCCTGATTCCTTGGAGGAAGTGGTAGATCTAAGAAAAAATGGATGGATTGTGTGAAAGACGATATATTGTGTAAGAGGGGAGTGAGCAAAGAAATGGTATATGCTAGAACAGTCTGGGGAGTAAGGGGAGATCGGAATGCTACCTTCACCGGCCCTATTGTCAACCCCACCTGCACGCGCCGGATGGCGGCGGCGACCAACATGTTGCCGTGGTGCTCCCTGCTAGAGAACGAACGGGGCAATGGCGACCGAGCAATGGCGGTATAACCATACACACCCGTCAGGACAACCTGTACGGAAGAGGCGTCAGAAACCTTGGGGATCAAATACCCCCTAAAATGCTGGTGCAGAAGGCAACGGGAAACCACTGCACTAATTTCCCACGAGAGTTATGAGCAGGTCGTATCCGACTGATGCATGACCACGACCACTCTGTCAAGAGTGTACGAATAGGAAGAAGAACAGTCTAGAAGGAGAAAACATGTTGCGCCGACCCCGGGTGAGTGGGAGAAGGGCAAGAGAATGATGATAATGATGTTATTCCTTGGACCATGGAAGTCATTTCTGCACATTTATTTGGTATGTATTTCATACGAACACTGATAGATTCGCTTCGCTCGATACGAATTAATGCACTGGGCGTCTTATCCTGTAGGGCAGTACATATTTCTTACCATCTTCATTATCATTGTTAATCGGTAATCAAGATAGCTATTGTTAGCAGGTTATTTTTTTTTGTAAATAAAGATCTGTTTTCTATCTGTTGTTCATGGATAGAGGCAAAGCTCAAAGAACCAAGTGTACTAGCGTCTCATTACTGTTTACCATGTATATTGCATAATCTATACTTACTAATATATAAATCTACAGTGGTTTTTACGGATGTTCCGTTATAACTACTGAACCATGCATCCGATTGACTTGAAACTTGGTATCCATATAGAAAATACATGTACATAATGGATAGGCTAATATTTATAGAAGTGTTGGACTCCCTAATAATAATGACAATAAATAATAATGTTAATTTTAAATGCCCAGCGATGCGGGCGAGTACGGCTAGTGTTTATATAAAAAAAAAACAACCCTGGCTATGAAACTTCTATCACAAAAGCGATGACGTAAATCGATACAGTTGCGGTCGTAAATTGCACGTTTCCCACATAAACGATTTATTCTCCCGTGTTCCCGCTAATTATATTATCCTTCAACGTATTATATCCCGCTGTGTCGATGTAATTCAATGCACGATTGAAATTTATAGTGAATCGCAATGTATGATTAATTTCGATAACTCGTTTCCGACTTAATGAATAAGCCGACGATAGGTTTTTGTGTGAAATTTAAATTTTGCGTTATGTAATTAAAACTGTTTGATACAATAAATAAGGTCGTGAATGACAATTGCGTTATTATAAAATTACAAACTAAATTAATTTATTAAATTTGTGTTCCTAGCTTTTCAATTGTAAAAACATTGGTTACATTGTATTATAATATCTGTTTATATTTGTATATACATATTTATATTTTAAGTAAATAACGCGTTATACGAGTATGGGGTCATACAAGCGCGTTATGCGAGAATACTTCTATAACGCGCAACCAACGTACTTTAATATAGTGGGGGGGGGGGGGTATAACTGTATGACTGACTCGGTGGCGCAGTAGTTAGCGGCTCTGACTGTTGCGCCGAGGGTCGTGGGTTCTATTCCCACATCGGGCAAACATTGAGTGATGAACAGGTTTGCTTGCTCTTTGTCTTAGTGCTCATTATCTATATATGTATCGGTAGGCAGCGGCTTGGCTCTGCCCCTGGCATTGCTGAAGTCCATGGGCGACGGTAACCACTCACCATCAGGTGGGCCGTATGCTCGTCTGCCTACAGGGGCAATAAATAAAAATGTATATATTTAAACATATATAAGTATGTTTATCAGTCTCTGCTACCCAGAACACAGGGAAACCTAAATTGGGGCCGGATGACCGTGCATAATTTTTTCCCAGTTATTGTTTAAAGAATCTGAGAGCACTCGGAGAGAATAAATGGATAATATTATTATAGAGCTGTGAAGATTGCTCTTTGAAGGGGACTTCCCGATAAAAAACCTTACGTTTCCGACCTAACAAGCGTTCGAAGGATTATGTGAAGAAAAGATCTCAAGTGTAGGGGAAAGTAACAGTCGACAGACAGAAGCAAGAAATAAAACGTAATGGAATTCAATTGCGGAAGAGAACCAAAAATAAACTATAAATAAATGTACCGAAAAGTGAAAAACACGTATGAATTATGAAGATATTCTGGACATAGATGGTAGAAGGTAGGTACTTTAAAAATTAGGATTACGACAAGCAATAAAGGATGAACTACAAATTTAAAACAATCAAAGCAATATTTTCACAATACTTGTATGAATAAATAAAACTTTGAACGTAGTATTTAAATACAGAAATTTCTTTCACGCGAACACCCATTATGTTAATGTGCAGCTTTCATAATGTGAATAGGGATGCTGTATACGTTTACTCGCGCGCTAAATCTTCTTAAAACCGGTATTGTAATATTGCGGAATGTTTTCCTTAATGTAGAACGTGTGTGATGAGGGTCTTTGCTTATTAAACATGAGAATCGTAAATACAACGAGCAACATTTGAGCGATAGCGTATTTATTCTGGGATCAGAATGAATAAAAGCTATCTCGAAAAAAAAAAAAAGCGCAAATGGGTTTGTGGTCTTACAGCCCAATTGGTGTTAACTGGATACCCATACACAGCAGTACGGGAGGATATTTTAATTTTTTCATAGCCTAAAATTTTAACCATTTTTAAAATTAAAAACAATTTTAGTTTATATTACAAAATTTACGTTTAGATGCAGCTGTTTTAACGTATAACAATCAAAATAATATAAAGAAAATGCTGTTTCTATATAAGAAACTCCCAACCAAACCATGAGCGAGGATGGAAAATGACCTCGTTGGACACGCGGAATACGGTTGCTCGCTTCTTCACTACTGTGTGCGTACACCTTATCATTTTGTTTGTTGTAGCTCTCTTCTACGGTAAAAATTTTTTCATCCGAAAAAAGGATTTCCCGATATATTTTTCCCGCGTACCGCTTCAACAAAGCGCGGCATCTCTTCAGTCTCAGGTCCATTAAACGAGCATTCAAACGATGTCCTGTTTTTCTTCGATATCATTTAACACCCTTTTCACCGTGGTTCTGCTTAACCCCATCTGAAGGGCCAACAGTTTCTGCTTACGTTTGGGATTTCTTTGAATTCGCGCCTTCACAGCTTTTATCACTGCTGGAGTCCTAACAGACCGAGGGCGACCACTTCTTGACCTGTCATCTACACTAGAGTCTTCATTGTATCGTTTCATGGTACGATAAACGAATCTTTTGGTTATATTAAAATTTTTCAGTATGTTAAAAATTTTAATTGGCGCGTAACCGCAACGATGGAACGCAGTAACTGCAACACGGTCTTCTTTAAGCCTCCACTTCATATTTAAAAATGAGTAAAATTCTAAAAGTATACATTTTTATTTTCATGAACAATTCGAAATTCGAATTCAATAAACTTTTTTGTGGCCAGCATTCTAAAAGAAAAGTTTTTACTGTGTGACAATACTTATGACCTGACTAGTTATATACTCTAGAATAGAACAGTATTTTGCGTAATAAAAAATTGAAATATACTTTCACGTTAAATTAAATCAGGACAAATTCAGACATGAAAATAAATTACACACAAAACATAGTAAGCATTCCGGTATTTTAATATAAAAACCTTAACTGTCGAGGTACCTGGGTAGATCTTGTTATACGAAATCAAAGAGGGCATCATTATGAATATAAGAACGAGACTACAAAAAAAAAAGAAGAAAATAATATATACCCTTTTTAGATCAAAGTGCTCCCAGGAACGGAAATTATTTTCGTTCCGACAGAAGAATCTAAGTTCAGCTGTAGATGAAAGATTTTAATCTGAGATCGTCTTCACAATTTTGTGAAAGGACTCTGATGTCGATAGTAAAATAATAATAATGAATGAAGATAATAGTTAATAGCTCGTCAAAGTCGAGGCGCTAACGACAAAACAAAGTTACTACTGCACACCAATTCATGTCAACGCGAGATTTTTTTTTTTATAAAATATATACTCATACGCATAGTCATGACGTTTTTACTGTATAAAATTAAAATAAACACTTTATACTAATGTAGTTTTCCATTTTTTTTACTGGTGGTAGGACCACTTCTGAGTCCGCGCGGGTAGGTACCACCGCCTTGCCTATTTCTGCCGTGAAGCAGTAATGCGTTTCGGTTTGAAGGGTGGGGCAGCCGTTGTAACTATACTGAGACTTTAGAACTTATATCTCAAGGTGGGTGGTAACCTCCAGTAACCACTTAACACCAGGTGGGCTGTGAGCTCGTCTACCTATCTAAGCAATAAAAAAATAAAAAAACAATGACTATTCGTAATTGGCAAATACG